TCTACATGCCTTGCAATCACCATTGCAATTCAAACACATATGTACTGACAGTAAGTTCAAACTGAAGATGTGAATGAATAGTCTACTCCCAAAAGGAAGTGGTGAATGCCTCAGCATGTTTTGCTCCGACGTCTCCGGCAACATCAGGATCCGGCTTTCCATCCTGACAGACATCACAAAATAGAAAGGATTGCATAAACGAACCAAGTCATCTACTGCAAACACGCTTGACCATCTACACAACTTGCAATCACTTCTGCCACAATCATTGCTGCTAGAAATGCCTCAACAGATTCAGCAACTCCAAGAGTACTTAAATCACGAAGAAAGATCATGAATTCCTCAGCAGGCTTGGCTTTGGCATCTCCGGGAACATCAAGATTTGGCTTTGCTTCCTGACAGAAGTCACGGCATAGACAGGATGGCAGAAAGGAATCAAGGAACCTAGAAGGTTACGCTGCACCATCTTATGACTTGCAATCCTTTCTTCAGTCCAAGCACATATATTCCCGAAAAGAAGATGTGCATGAATATGGTACTCCAAAAAAAGAAGTGTTGAATTCCTCAGCAGGCTTGGCCCCAGCATCTCGGGGAACATCAGGATCCGGCTTTCCTTCCGGAGCCAAGTCATCTACCACAAACACACTGCACCACCTACAGGACTAGCAATCACTTCTGCCACCATCAAACCTGCTAAAAAAGATTCAACAACTCCAAGAGTATACTCAAATCACCAAGAACAAAAAAGCATGCCTCAGCAGGCTCGGCTTTAGAATCTGGCTTTCTTTTCCTCAACGTAGGCATGACGGCATAAAGGAATCAAGGAACCTGGAAGGATATGCTGCACCATCTATATGACTTGCAACCACCATTGCAATCCAAACACATATGTACCGACAGTATGTTCTAACTACTGAAGATGTGAATGAATACTCTACTCCCAAAAGGAAATGGTGAATGCCTCAGCATGTGTTGCTCCGACATCTCTGGCAACATCAGGATCCGGCTTTCCATCCTGACAGACATCACAAAATAGAAAGGATTATATACATAAATGAACCAAGTCATCTACTGCAAACACGCTGCACCATCTACATAACTTGACTGAATCTGGCTTTCTTTTCCTCAACGTGGGCATGACGGCATAAAGGAATCAAAGAACCTGGAAGGATATGCTGCACCATCTATATGACTTGCAATCACCATTGCAATCCAAACACATATGTACCGACAGTATGTTCTAACTACTGAAGATGTGAATGAAGCCTCTACTCCCAAAAGGAAAATGTTAATGCCTCAGCATGTTTTGCTCCGACATCTCTGGCAACATCAGGATCCGGCTTTCTATCCTGACAGACATCACAAAATAGAAAGGATTGCATAAACGAACCAGGTCATCTACTGCAAACACGCTGCACCATCTACACAACTTGCAATCACTTCTGCCACAATCACTGCTGCTAGAAATGCCTCAACAGATTCAGCAACTCCAGAGGACTTAAATCACGAAGAAAGATCATGAATTCCTCAGCAGGCTTGGCTTTGGCATCTCCGGGAACATCAAGATTTGGCTTTGCTTCCTGACAGAAGTCACAGCGTAGACAGGATGTCAGAAAGGAATCAAGGAACCTAGAAGGTTACGCTGCACCATCTTTATGACTTGCAATCCTTTCTTCAGTCCAAGCACATATATTCCCGAAAAGAAGATGTGCATGCATATTGTACTCCAAAAAAAGAAGTGTTGAATTCCTCAGCAGGCTTGGCCCCAGCATCTCGGGGAACATCAGGATCCGGCTTTCCTTCCGGAGCCAAGTCATCTACCACAAACACACTGCACCACCTACAGGACTAGCAATTACTTCTGCCAACATCAAACCTGCTAAAAGAATCCTCAGCAGATTCAACAACTCCAAGAGTGCTCAAATCACGAAGAACAAAAAATAGCCTCAGCAGGCTTTGTTTCTGCATAGGAAGGAGGCAGTACGATGCACCATCTACATTGCAGATACTCCTGAAGAACAACTATCTAGGGAATAAAAGGATGTGAATGCCCCAAAGGCTTGGGTTTTGCAGCTGCAGCTTCTTGATCTGTTGTTGAACCCTGCAGTCCCAAAACACACATATAGACAGACCCTAAAAGAAGAATTGAAGGCCTCGGCAGGTTCAGCAACTCCAGAACATCCGGATCCATCTTTCCTTCCTGAGAGAAGTCAGGCCAAAGCACACCGGAAGGCATATGGATCAAGGATCCTAGAAGGAAGGGCTGCATCATCTGAATCAGAGCTGGCCAATGGCATGTCACATTCCGAGACATGTTCTTGTTTTGACACTGTTCTGTATGTTTTCCAGGACAGCTTTGTTTAGGCCAATCTGGTGGAAATGACCGAGGTGGAACACATCATATGTTCCACCAATTTATATAACAAATACCTACACGCACCATCTGTTTGAACGCGCCACAGATTACAGCATTTCAAGAAGGTGGGGTGGGAAGAAACATGTGTTTAATTGCAGCTTCCGGAACCTAGAAGGATGCGCTGCACCATCTATATGTTGCCTGGCTAAGCTGCTAGTACCATCTACACTGCAGCAAATATGCTCACAAGCATGGCTCTGCAATCTTTAAGACAGCACTCCCCACCCTCATCCTCATCCTCATCTTCATCCTCCTATCAAAATCCGGCAACAGTGCAATCAAACATAGACAAAAGCGGTCAATGTGCTTTTTCATGCTCTCATGAAGCCATGGAGCCTTTGCCCACAACCACGGGGTGAACTGGTTGCATCCTTCTCAGGGATTGCCACCACAATGCATGCAAATGGAAACTTCCAGGCCGACTGGGCTGTCACCCACAACTGTGATCCACACCTCTCTTCCTGTTGTCCACAGGAGGAACATACGAAATCAAATACAGTACAACAACTCAACATACAGGAAGATATTCAGTTTTCCGTGTGGATGGTGCAGACCAACACTTGAACCATGATTGTTTATTCTTTAGCTGCGCTGTCATGTTCTGTCTTTAGGTCCTCTATGTTTTGAGTGTTGTGGTCTCCTCGTGGGGGGTCCCCTTGGGCAGCCCCAAAAAATGCATTTCTAAGGGTTGTTTTGAACAGGATTTTATATAGACTTTTTCATCTACAGATTTGGATTCTTGTTGGATGACCCACATCTCTTCAAAGACCCTAAATGAGGAAAACCTTCCAAAGAAGATGCTTACCCCCAGTGTAGATGGTGCCGCCAATTGGTTGAACCATGATGGTTTATTCTTTGGCTGTGCTGTCATAGTTTTTCCTTAGGTCCTCTATGTTGTACATGTTACCGTCTCCTCATGGAGTGGTCCCCTTCGGTAGCTCCAAAAAACTGATTTCTCAGTGTAGCTTTGTAAGAGATGTTATGTAGACTTGTTCATTATTGTTGGATGGATGACCCATTTCTTTTCAAGGACACTAAATGGGAAAAGATTCCAAAGAAAATCCTTGCACCCAGTGTAGCTGATGCAGACCATCAGTTGAATAATATTCTTTGGCTGTGCTGTCATGTTCTGTCTCTAGGTCCTCTATGTTTTGAATGTTGTGGTCTCCTCGTGGGGGGTCCCCTTTGGCAGCCCCAAAAATGCATTTCTGAGGGTTGTTTTGAACAGGATTTTATACAGTATAGGCTGTTTCATCTACAGATTTGGATTCTTGTTGGATGACCCACATCTCTTCAAAGACCCTAAATGAGGAAGGCTTCCAAAGCAAGCTGCTTACCCCCCGTGTAGCTGGTGCAAGCCATTGGATGAACCATGATGGTTTATTCTTTGGCTGCGCTGTCATAGTTTGTCCTTAGGTCCTCTATGTTTTAACTGGTCTCCTTGTGGAGAGTCCCCTGGTCCCCTTCGGTAGCCCCAAAAAGTAAATTCTGAGGTTTGATTGAAAAGGATTTGATATAGACATGGTTTATCTGAAGATCTGGATTCTTGTTGGATGACACAATGCTCTTCAAAGACACTAGATGGTAAGAGCTCCCAAAAGAAGATCCCTACACCCAGTGTGGATGGTGCAGACCATCAGTTAAACAAGCATTGTTTTTCCTGGCTGTGATGTCATGCTCGGTCTCCACGCAGGACAATCAGAGAATGGTTGCATGAGTTCCCACCTTACATCCCTTTGATAGGATGGGATGCTATCCAATCCCAGCACACGCACACACCTCTCCAGGACCTGCACCATCTACACACATGTCCAACTGATCCCGATCTCACAAAAAGAGGTTTGGTTCTAAGACTAAAGGAAATCAGTGTGTTAATTCTCAGAGAATTCACAAGCAGAATCCACAGGGAATCGAGAACCTATGTGGCCTTTTGTTACTCTTCCATTGAAGAAAACCAGCTATGCTGCACCGTCTACACCGTGCAAACACCCATCTTGCTGACAACGTGTGAAGCTCTGCATGCACCATCCGCTTGGCTTGAGCTCACGGCATTGCTCCCACCACAAAAAGAATAGGATTGCTGAAAGGTCTGAATACTTCAGGTTTTGTTCAACCACTCCAAAACTGAGGTACCCAGCAGGATCAGCGCAGCCATGGAACAGCCATTGCAGAAAGCATAATAAGTGAAAGTTCTATTGGCACATTGAGTTGTCTTGCGCACATGCTTTCTTTTGGCCACTGGTTCTCACACAGATGGTGCGAGGCTTTCCAATACTAAAGTTAAAGGAAGCCCCTTTCGTTTTAAATTGTGATTTATTTTTTGTTTAAACCTTGGCTGGCCAAGGTTTGAGCCGGAAATGGAAAACAGTATTCGAACTATTTTTTTTCCAGTTGAGATTTTTCTGGTGCAAACCTTGTACCCTGCACCAGGATTTTCAAATCAGAGTATTCAGTAATGAGCAACTCTAGCCCCATCACGCCCTGATGGCGCCATCCCTGAATAGCATGTGCCAGCCACCACAACTGGAGGCTGTGGAAGACTCCCGCCCCAATCAAATCCGTGGATCATGCGGCGGTTTCCAGCCTTGTGGATGTTTTGCAGCAGCATAGGCCTCGATGACCTCCAAGTAGGGCACCTTCAAACACACGGGATGGAGCAGGCGAGAAGATGGGGCTCCCAAATGTGTTTGACTATTTAATTTGATTGCTTCTTGCACCCATGCGTGGTTGCTTTGCGAATGGTCTTCTACAAATGCAAATCTGCTCAACACGCACACCAAACAAAATCTGAGCACGACTTCCATGGCTGGCCATGTAAATTAGTTAGATGCCATATCATATATGCCAAGTACATATGTGATGGATTGTGATGGGCTTTTTAGGGGCCGCTCCACCTCTCCTTTTGGGGCCGTTCAACCTCACGCCTCCTCTTTCTGGAGTTCCTTTTCCGACGCCAACCTGCGACACGTAGCTGGTAAGACCGCGAGTTGGACTTGAACTTCGGGTCCCATCAAGTGAGGTGACTCCGGATTTTTTGAAGGTGCACCACAGCTCGTGTAAAGTCCACACCTGAGGTACCTCAAATATCCACAAATACGCTGTCTGTTGTGAGGGGTTCAATTGAGAGGTACCAAAAAACTTGAGAGGAGGGAGACACGAAAGGTAGGACAGCGGGAAGAGAAGAGAACGCGAGAGGCAGGAACAAAAATGCAATGGTCGACATGATTTATCCCCTCGGAGGCGACCTTTCGTAAATATATGTTCATATGCACTCTAAATGTTCAAACATATGCTCTCGAAATGTTCAAAAAGATTCTTGGGAAAACAAACTTGCCCCATGGCTCAGATCATCGGTGAGCATTGAATCGGAGCATCATAGGATTTGAACTATCCTGAAACCATAAGAGGCTCACGAAGACGCTCCCCAGGAGAGAATTGACGTGCTTCACAAAACAAACTCTAGGTATGTATCCCCTCGGCGAACACCTTTCGTGATTAGAATTTCATATGCACTCTTTCTGAATGTTCAAGAGGGTTTCAACTATCCTGAAATCATGAGAGCTCACGAAGACGTTCTCCAGGAGAGAATTGAATTTAGAGGGGGGGGTGGTCTGTATTGAAAAATCAATTCCAAGGGGGCGGGGGGGGTCTGTATTGAGAAATCAATTCGAGGGGGGGGGTTGAATTGAATGATCAATTATTAGACCCGGACGTGCCAACACTTGCTTCGCAAGACAAACTCAAGGTATCCCCTAAAGGGCTACCTTTCGTGATGTGGCAAGTACTACTGGATGTCACAAAGACAGGTGTGGGGATCAATACAAAGCCAGTTTGTTCAAGCACAAATGAAACATGCAGAGCATTTTGGATTGGAACTTCACATAGACTTGCAGTAGGACCCTCATTATTCACGATAAGGCCATGCTCATGCTCTTTGATATCCGGTTCATGAATTGTACTTCTGTCAAATGGGCTTCCCCATGGCCTACATAAAGTTGACATTATACCAAGCTAGTGGGACCATAAGTATACTACTAGCTAGTTGGCGTACACGTATCTGTTCCAGCATGACCCTGCAAGCCTGTCCCAACTCTTCTAGGTATCATACCGTACATACAGCTTGATGCCAGGAGTGGGTGACGAAAGCTAGCAGGGTCAGGTGAAGGAAACATGGGCAAAGGAGCACGGGTGGAATCCCCATGGCCAAAGCCTCAACATGATATTTCCCAAGATGTTGTTGCCTTATGTTGCCTTTGAATATAATTACTGCGCGTGGTAGAATATGATAGACCAAGTAGCAGTATATTGGAGCCCTCTGCGAGGCCTTCACGAGACCTCCACAAGACCTTTGTGTAGGACCGGGCAAAACATCTACCAATACATGGTTTGGGAGATTTGCAGAACCAGGTAGCACAGCGGTTTGCAGAAGCTGTTGGGCACCGTTGGGTGCACTCGCTGTGGCTCCTTCTCCAACAAGAACTGCTCAAAGGCGGGTTCAGAGTCTAAAGGTCAGATTGATGAGCATCCTGCTTTCTTATAACAAACAGTGATGACGTTTCATCAGGTTTCAGCTGGGTTTCCCCATGCCACCACAAAAGTTCTGACACCATCATAAAAACTTGCAACATCCTCTTCCGCATGGCCACGGAGGATTAGCCAACAAAATATTACAGTAATATGATCATGAACAGTGTATTGGTGGAATACTACTCTGCATGGCCACTGGCCAAACATGCGCTTTTTGTTGGAGGTGATACCCCTTGCGTGAATTGCAAGTTGTGAAACCCCACAACCCGGCAGCCGGTAGCGAAACATGCCCGGTTGATCCCGCTGAAACGATTTTGGTGTGCATGAGAATAGGCATGAATAGAGAGACCTTCTAAGCACTAACTTGTTGATTTCTTTCCTCGTCTTGGGCGAAAGGGGTGTGTCGTATTTCAAGTTCCCATGTCTGTGAAGACCAGGTGCAAAGCTCGACACATCAAACGACACACGCCACGTCTGGTCGCGTCGTTTGGACGCACGCACGCCGCCACGTCGGTCACGCCTGGTCACAAAGGCGGCCAAGCGATCCACCAGACCTAACTACACGCCCGTGGTTCGAGCAAGGATGAGACCCAGAGCAAGGAGATGAGTCTGGACCTTTGGTCAGATATACCAAAACATGTTGAGGTCTGGTCACCTCTGGGTCACCTCTGGTAAAATACCATCCAGTAGCTGCTAGATCATGATGATTACAGTAAGAGAACCCTGAAAACGGGTCAACCGTCAAGCCTCAAGAAACGGCCGCACAGCTGGATGTTGAACCCATCACACTACAAAGATCTACTTCGGAAAACATGATTATATCAACCGCTTATTGCCAGTGGTAAAGTCTTTGCAGTTACCGCTTTTCAATTGCCCTGTTGCCTGTGGTTTCTGTCACATGAGTCATACGAGTACACTTGTTTCGAGCCAGGGCAATAGAATAATAGATCTGTCCAAGAAAGGAATAGACTGGGGTGGCTCTGCCACCCTAATCCATGGTGTTCGTGACCTTCCAAAGGATCCTTCGTGGGTTGCAACCCTGGTATTCAACCTGCCCAAGTTACATCACCCGGCCATCCCATCACAATCCCATCCCCTGCCCGATCACGCTCGATCTGCCTGCCCTCCTGTCGGCTCGCTGCTCAGAGCCGGAGAAATCGCCTGATTAGGGGCACCGCCCCGGTGTCGAAGAACCAAACAGGGCAATCCACCGCCCATATGACCGAAACATGGGTGAATGGGACTTGCACATGAAACACAGTCACTAATTGTGGACGCCAGACAATTAGGGAAGACTTTTTTCAATGTGTTTCTTCAAAGAAGAGAGGGTGAACGCCAGAAATTTGCTTTGTTGGAGTGTAGAAGCATCATGTAATCCTTGTTTTCATACCTGAGGCAAATCCTCCCAGGCAAATTGGAATGAGGCACAATTATTGTTGCCCAAATGCTTCTAGGTTTATATACTCTCCTTGAAATAATCGAAGTGGGAAAACCCACCTGTTTCGGACATCGTCTTCCGGGCGCCCTAGCGGCCCATATGTCCACTTGGTGTTCCACGCGTGAGGAACCTCGTTTTCCTTGTTTTCTTCTTTGAATTCTCCAGCACCGTGCCGACCCTGCCTTTTGTGTCTTGATTCATCACTGGCACTGGGGACAAGTCGTGGCCGTGCCGGCCGTACGATACGCGCGCCTTGTGCGACATAGTCGATGAATTCGCCTGGCGAATTCCGGGCCCTTTTTGGCGGTGGATGTTTGACCATTTTGGGGGGGGAGCAAAAAACAAGACAGGGCTTCGGATCCGAGCACGTCGAAAGCAAAGCTGTCAGATATTCGCAATGTTCAAACGACAACAGGAAGTAGAATGATGACGATGAGATAGGATTCGTCGCTGATATCCAAATATATCCAAACACTAGACCTCCTTCCAGCTGAAAGCAGTCCAAAGCTTCAGAGAGCTGTTTTACTTTGTGTGACCTTTGTTCTCACAGAATTTGGTGAGAAGCGGGGACATCATCATAATTTGTAATGAACTATGCCAGCATTGGACTGAAAGCACACAAACATATATAGGACATTATAGGACAAATTAAAACCTCGTCTTCTTCTGCTCCGTCTAGTGCTCCGTCAAAGATTCCATGGTCCATAGATCTCAGTCATTAACAAGTTCTCCTGAACCCTCCTGGTCCAAACGGAATCTCCCCGGTCAGAATCCGGTCCGAGATACCGAGCTGTTCTCGCCGCGGTCCTCAGAGATCCATCGAGATGAAGGCGGATGTCTCACCATCGATCGCACGGAGAAAAGACCATGGAAAAATCAAACAAAACATAACAAAAAAACATACGTTGGACTTCGCAAAGGCCTTTAGTGATGGAACATGGAGTTGAGAAAAAGCCCCGAAGGCTGGGTACATCTCTCGGCAGCCTGCTGTCACCAGTGCGAAACTCACACCCAGTGGGTCCAACAAGCCCCAGTGGCAAGGCCCGAAACACACTGAGTCTGTGTAGAACTGCACGATCGGAGCAAGAACGCTACGATCGGGGCTGGCATCGCTATCGGAGCAAAGGATGCCTGTGTAGAACATTGCACCAGTATGTCGTACTTGTCCTAGTAACAAGTGCCTTACTAGTAGTAACAAGAAGCTACTAGGAACAAGTGCATCGCTTCTAGTAACAAGTGCCTTACTAGTAGCAACAAGAAGCTATTAGTAACAAGAAGCTAGTCGTACTTGTCCTTTTCGGATGTTTCACGGAGACACAGTTGATATAGACTGTGGAGACCGGAGACCTCACCGGCGTTCGCCAGGAGCTCCTACTGGCAAGCAGATTGAGTCCACCGGACGTGTTCGGCAACTCTGTGTCCGCGTGGAGTTTGATCGAATCTGTCTTTGAAGCCACCAAAGTTGTCATTTTGCGGGGGAAAGCTCTAAAAGATCACCCTGGGCCCACGTCCGTCTTCTTTGGATTTGATCTTCATCCGGTCTCATCGGCATTGAAGGACATCTGAGGTCCAAGCTTCTGGCCTGCTCCAACCACCTCGAAAGCACCCGCCGGTCGCGCCGTTTCTGCGTGGAGCAGAGGCGCGAGATCACCCACTGCATTGATCACCCACTCACTCTTGCTGATAGATTGCGGACCTGTATAATGTTTGGTCCACTTGCGTGCACAATCGGACCACCAAACCGACCCAAATAGATACGCAAATGTCTGAAAACGGCCATTCGGACTGAAATGAGTGAATCTCCTCTGAGATGCTCTGTGGTTAGTTGGGGCGCCTCTCAAAATGCATGAAGAACACTTAGGATTGCAAAGAGAACTCTTATACAGCCTATACCGCATGTCCCTTTGCCTTGTAACCTTATCGTTTCACTTGCGGATCTCGGCGGGCTGGGCTGCATATCTTACTGTCCATGCCTCCAGTACGTAACACAGCAGTGCTTAGGCCACGTCACTTCGTTATCGGTTTCCGTTGTCGTTCTGTTGCTGTTTTGAAGCAGCCTAGTCATCTCGTGCGACCGTGAGGTCGTGACCGGCTGGTCCGCATGGGGTTGGCACCAAGTTCTAATGGGCAGTCAGGGCACTCCCTCCATGCATCGTCGTTCAAAAAAAAATATACACACATTAGTTAGTCATATTAAACTTATATACATACTGCAAAAAAAATAAATGCAAATAATGGTTACTAAGTACCATCGTTTTACGGTGGATAGGGCATGTGCTTGATGTTTCCGTAGAACAAACATGCCACAATGTGATTTGTGAGCAGGGGCTGACCCCATTCCTCAACTCCAAAGGACCATTCTGGGTTTCCTCTCAAGATTGGGCTGGTGAGAAGGGTGATCCCAGGTGAAATCTCGTACATAAACAAAACTGTTTGCCATAGATTGCCATAGTACATTCACCCACCTTTTTTGGATCCTTCAGCTTCCTTTGGGTGGCACCCCCCAACAAAGCAACGAATCGGCCGGCGCGTGGCCCATGAGCCGCGTGGAAACGGTTTGGCTGAGACACCAAAAGGTGCCGACCACGTCGTTTCCCTTGAAATGGGCCTGGCTGAGGTTGTGCTGATTGGGGAGATCTGCGAAGATTGGAGGGGACTTGTGCTTTTTTTGGTAACACCGTAACACCTGCTTCAGAAGTGATGAGCCCTCACAGGGCTTTGTTATGTTTGAAGTAGCTCACAAAGGTAAGAGATGGTAGAAGATTCCACAAGTGAAGGGGCAGCCAATCCCGCTCATTCGAAGTCTGTTAGAGGCAGCCGGTCGGTGTTGATGTTCCCTAGGGCTCCTGACCCATTCCTCAGAAGGCGGGGATCGACTGACCCCCAACCAGCAAAAACCCTTCTCCCCGTCTTCGAAACGGAGGAGTTAGGCCGGGAGCATGTTGGAGCCCTGGGCATTGGGTTGTTCGCACATCGGCCTGGAATTCCAGCCCGGACGGAGCGGTTCCCGGCGTGGAGTCTGCCACGTTGGAGTCTGGTTGGAGCCACACGTCCCGTTCAGCAGGCCACACGTCCCACTTTCTTCGTGTTCGACCCTGGGCGCCACAGCAGGCCAATCGGAGTTCTTCGATTGGACAGCATCGCGCTGTCCGATTTCGCAGCGGGATTGTGGTCCACGATCGATGGGACCCAGAAGCCTTGGACGTTTGCTCGAGCCAAATCGCCGATCGGTGCAGGATCACCGGAGACGAAGTCCAGTCGTTGATCACCAGCGATGCTGAAGTCCTTCTTGGTCAAGTGCAGCGGGACATGACACGTGCTCTTCGACAAGTTGACACATCTAATGGCTGTTGAATAAAGTCGCGATGGTGGCGCTATCAACCCCACTCACTTCCACCCACCCCATCCACCCAAACCACACAAAACCGAAACACACGACGCCGGCCCGAGTCCGTCATGTCCGTGTCACCTTGTTTGGCTGGTTGGGTGTTTGGATGATCCTAATGATTCTCAATGTATCGCTGGTGACTTGCTACATGTGTCCTATTTGGGCCTTGTGTCGGTGTGTCTCAAGACTCTAGACAAAAAAGAAAACAGCGTTGGATTGATGGAATTTCTACCGGTTACTATACTGGCCTTTGCATATATGACATCATATGACAACCTCCGGCAAAACTCGCAGACCACAAGAATGCGGTCTTCCGCTTTGCAAACAAGGAATGCATTTCAGCAAACACACAAGGAAACTGTCAAGTGTTTGGGCAAGTGGTGTTTTCCTCTGGGAATGGCCGTTGGTCAGAAATCAAACAAGTTTGCTAATGGGAAAGCGTGAAACACTCCGAATCGGCCAGGTCATGTGGGGACACACTCCGAATCAGCCGTGGCCTGATGAGTTTGGGAAAGCAAAGACCCGTTCACCCATTGCTGGAGGGGTGAGAGCTTTCTCCTTGTGAAGAAATTGACCATGTTGAGTCAAGTCTTGTTGCTCCGGAGGCTCTCGACAGTGGCCTTCGCCACCTTTCGGCAAGTCCGAGGCGAGATCCTGAGTAGGACTGGGCGCCGAGATGTTTGGTGAACAACTGACTCGTGCTTCGGGAGGACCAAATGACTCCAAGAGAATTCTTGAGTTGAGTCCATGATTCCCAAAAAATAACACCGACATCATCAAATAGTTGCATGATGTTGCATGATATCGGCCAATATTGACTTGACGCTGGAATCTTGATTGACTTATCTAGCTTTTTCATGCACGCATGCTCACCGGGCGGAGCTGGCAGGCGAACAACCACCCTAATAGCAATGGCCTCCAACCCTCCAACTTACTAGCGATGGCCTCCAACCTACTAGCGATGACCTCCAACCTAGTGCCTTGCTCCACCAACTTGGCAATCTTGTTGCATTTGGTTCACACTGTTGCTGCTTGACATTGAAACATACATGTCCAAACATGTTGGAACATAGTCTAAGCTTGTAAGACTAAAAAGTGTTTGTGTCTGATTTAGTCTATTCCTGACTAGTAATGTTGTGATAAAACCTACAAAATACTTGCTAAGAAACACTAATTCGTTGGGCTTACCTTAACTCTTTAGGGTATGAGCCATGAGCGAAGTGAGGTGTGCAGCTGCAGCAGTTCTTCGATCAACAATCACCCCGTAGTCACCAATATAGTTCAATTTGGAGTTGCCACCATGAGGGAAAAGCCGCTTTGAATTGTACTAGGAGTTCATGGTTGATGTGTCTGCAGGAAAGAACATCTTTCTTCTCTTCCATAAGATGTTCTGCACGTTCTCCGAGAACAAAAACTGTGCAGTCTCTGTTTGGGGTGATCTTGAAGGATTCTATCGGGCGTTCTACCATGGCGTTCTACCATGTTCGTCCTCCTCCCGTTCGGTGTCAGCGAGCGGCCGAAAATCCGGGACGGACTGCTGTGCCAGCATGTACCACTCCTTGGACGTCTCCAGCTGCCCAACCTACACAAGAGATCACCGGCTGTGTCCTGAGACATCAGCGAAATCACCTCCCCCTCTCGTCCCAGGGCTGAAACGATGGTACTGTAAAGCGAAGATAGAAAATTCATGAAGATTCTACAGTATCTTGTGTTGGATGTTTCCCCAAAAAGAACGATCTGGGCGTTCACCGATCTGGGCGGTCGACCGGATCGGACGGGTGTGGAACGGCCCCGGGTTCCGGTTGTTTCGCTCATTAGGTTGGAGGCCATCCCTACAGGGTTGGAGGCCATCGCTAGTACAGTGACTAATGAACATCCCTTAACCTCTAAGGACCTAAGGGCGGGTCCTGGTAAAGGGTGCTCCCAAGCTCCCACCTCAGCTGCTCTCAGAATCATGGTTTGGTACCTGTACGACTGAAACGAGGTGAAACGATGTGAAACTGGCCGATGGAGAATATGTTGGAGGAGAAACCCCGGGAGTCTGGAAAAATGCAGAACGGAACATTCAGCCTTCCCAACCTGGTTGCACACAATCCGAGATTATGAGCAGGCTTTGTCATTTCTGGTGGATTCAATACGGCCTCTACCCTATGAGTCCTCTTGCTAGAATGGTTGCTGGTTTGCTCCATCTTGCAATACTAAGCGCATCCAACCGCCTTTCAAAAAACCATTGGGACCATGTCCGTGATTGATGAACAATGTCTGCATCTCACTTCCATGTTTGAAACTGATGTTGTCAATTGATTGGTCAAGTGTGTCATGAAAAGGCCGGAATAAATTGAGTGCTTGCTCTATGACTTGCTCACGGGCTTGGAATCACTCCACTCGCTCAAAAAAAATAAATAGATAAATAAATAAACATATATATATATATATAGCGTCCTTGCTCCTAGTAGCGATGCCAGGAGCCCCTAGTAGCTTCTTGTTCCTAGTAGTACGGCCAGGAGCCCCTAGTAATAGTAGCGTCCTTGCTCCTAGTAGCCTATCTTCTCTGGGAAAGTAAATCATGACCACGGTGGGCGCCTTGTCTTCTTTTTAAAGGCTACACGACCCCAAAAAGGTGTTTGGGGTGTCAAAGCATCCATTTCATTGGGCGTTGCAGCACAGAGACTGCGGCTGAGCCAAACTGCTAACGAGACTCCGAGACTCAGTCTTAGCATGTCTTAGCCACTCTTCAATGTGTGCAAGTCTCCCAGGGGCACAAGCCGCTCTGAAGCTTTCTCTCCAAAGTAGCCAAGACCTTCTCCAGCAAGCCCTCTAGGTCTTGCACCTCACGGGGTTCCACTGAAACGCATCCACTTCACCTGAAACAACTTTCTGGCCACGCATGGGGTTCCACTCTCCATCTCACTGGCCTGGACTCTCTCACTCCCATCTCACTGCCCTGGACGGTCACACCTTCTTATTGAAAAAGTCCTCGGCCAGCTGCCTGGGCCCAGTTGAGAAACTCGGAATCCCCCCCAATAAGACCAAGCAGCTCCTTGCACTAGAATGAAAACATTCAAACAAGCCAGAAGCATCAGTCCAATGACAATTCTTATCCAGATCACACTCTCGATTGGCTGACGAGCATGCCGCCACGACCGAGAACACATAGTGACATAGTGGGCCCCTTTTCCGTATTTTTGCGAGCCATGCAGGTAAGCGAACATGTATGAAGATGTTCAAACATTATGTGAAACGTTTAAAGTTTACAAATGAGAGATTCGCTAAATGTCTAAATTAGGTGCTTTCTTTGGCATGTGAAGAAATGCGTTCCAACTTGTGAAGTCCCGCTGCACGTTTGTGCGCCTTCACCTTAGTTGCTGGCGTCAAAAGGCACGGTTTGTGGCATGTTGGGGGGACCATGAAGGACCCTTGAACTTCATCTTAAATGACCTGAATCCACAGGACTGGAAAATCATATATCTGAATAGACCTACCCCTATCTGCACAGATTCTCTGCTTCAGGGTCAATGGGCTAGCCTTCTTCCAGTCCTTCAGATTCGAATGTATCTTATGCGAGCTCACCACATGCCCAAGTCACTGTCGCCAGAAAGTCCTTTAGGGGCATAGATTCGGACCTCTGCGAGCTCACCTCTTGCGTGGCTTCCGCAGAACTCATCACTCGCACCCCCCGCGTCTGCAAGAAGCTTCCGGGTTGCTTCGACCTGACGGGCCCGGTCACCTGAAGTTCCGACAATGAAGGTCACCGGCTGAGATCCCCATGTTGACTCATGCTAGTTGGACCCACCCAAAACATCCCAAAACCAGGGCAACAGCATGCCCTTGTCACTTACTCTTACTCATCTTACTCCTCAGAGACATGTGTGATGGTGTTTGGTTTTGAAGCAGCCCAGCCTCACTCTCGTTCAAGGGCTTGCACACGTCTTCAATCACTGACACAAGAAATCCATTCTCAGCTCCATGCAAAGCACTGGACTTCACACAAATATCAAACACCAAGCCGCAGCACTAAACGTCGGTGACTCCCGCATCTTCCAACTGCTTGGTAACGCCAGTGTCATTGGCTTTGCAATTGTCGAAGAATGCCGAGTAAGAGTCGATGTTGGCTTTTTGCCCTTTGTAGACAGACATGTCTTCCTTTTTCACCACCAAATCCTTGTGGCATTCGCTCCCCCATGCCCTTTGAACGCAATGGCGTGGATAAAGCATCTGTGAATGCTCTGCGCGATCTTGATCACCAAGCAATGTCACCTGTGAAAATGCCTGGAATGTGCCAACACCCTCCGTCTCTTTGATCTTTACCTTGCCATCGTTCGCACTTTCCACAAAGGAGCAATGGTCCTGGGGATGCCAGTCATAAGAAATCACCACACAGTCGAACTTCTCTCGGATCTCATTGATCCCTTGTACGATGCTTTCGGAGTTTTGAACGGCCAACGATCCTGAGATGAAGTCGTTCTGCACATCGATGATGAGAAGGGCTGTCTTCCGCTTTAATGTCTGGGATTTCGGATTGTAACAACGAAGAAATGCGTGAAGTTCATTGAGGCCGATGGTTCCGTTCTGATCACTATCGAACTCAGTCACCAACTTGTTGAGCTCCTCCTCTGTGAGTTCCTGATTTTTGAGCTCGATGTTTAGCCCCCCAAGGATCACTCACTCGGGATAACTATTCTCAAACAGAGATTGATCAGAACGTATCAAAATCATTCAAAATCACTATCGAGGTTCACTTCCAGGGAATGCTGCTTTCAAGAAATTCCTCAACTCGCTCGCTTCAAGCTCCCCATTGCCGTTACGGTCAAACTGCTTGAAAAAGGTCTGCACTGTTCCCGTGAGACAGAACCTTGCTACTTTTGCCACCACAGCACTGGCCCATAACAAAGTTTCCGTCTACACCACCTTGGAGCCAGTGTTGCTATTGGATTTGCTGACGTTTGTCTCAAAATGGACAAACCACCCCAGACCCAACACACAATCCCAAAGCGCCCTTTGATGCCCCGCCCAGTGATAATCTTGCTTTTTGTCGGTCTATGATTGTACATGCGTTTTCTCTTTGGAACTATGGGCCAGTGACCAAAGGTGGGGCATCCTGGATTGTCAATGGGCCCACTCCGCCGCACCCCCCCCTTGCAGAAAACAACATGCCTTGCGACCACATCAACGTGGGCCCTGGCATGAACGCGGACCACATCGCGTGCTTCCCATGGGAAATGGATCATGGGATCCTGGTCAACTTCCATGGACTGTGAGTTGCTGGTTTTCTGCTTGGTGACAAAGCGACACATGTAACCTGCTCGAAGGAAGCGTGATGACACCCACCATCTTGAAGATGGAGGATGATCCATGATCATACTGTACTTCCGATTCATGATACAAGTATTGATATCATAGTCTAGTATATTACAATCATTGTCATGTATCATGAACCTATCTGTACCAAGCCGAATCAAGCCGAATCAGTACATTGAAGTACCAGTTTGCATCATGTGGAGCCCCGAGGCGCGGTTTCTTCAAACATCTTCAAACCAAGTGGAACACGGTCCCGCCGCTTGGCGCCGCCGAGCGCGAGCCAGGTGCCTGGTGATGGTGAAGCCCTGATCATGCATCCATTCCAGCCTGCCAGTTCAACCAGAGACAGGAGACGGTGCCATGGCATGGCTGGCATGGAATGCTGGGAGCCGGGTGGTCATCCTGAGAAATTCTAGGACGTGGTAATGATTAAATATGTAGATCCTTGCTGGTGACTGCTTTTGTCATCTCTCTTCATGTGTATTAAAGCAGCTGGTGAGTCCCTTTCTTCCCAGGGCAGCCCTGTATGTCTTTTCCCATGTGGTGTTGAAACTCTTGGAACACAGGGGAGACCTGGAGATCGCAGACTGGCGACTGGACAAACGGCGTGCCAGGCTTTCAACGTTGTACGACGTAGTGATTTGAGTGTGCCGTGTGCCCTGCAAAACGGACATGTTTTGAATACTACGTAAGGCGTTCACTCTTGGAAAAAAATAGCCAACAAATACTGCAACAGATTATCTAAGATCATAAAGTTGCAACTCCAAGAGAAACTCAACATGACATTCATTGCAAAGGTCTGCAATCTCAACCCAAACAGGACGGAGTCGCGTGTAGATGCCGCGGCGCCCATCCCCCCTGCGGTTGCACCTGTCAGACGAATGGATTGGATCGCACGCGGCCCGCTGGAACACATGCATGGCCAAAGCACGTGTTCCCCAACGATGTTGCAGCATGTTTCACTGTATGATCTCATATTAATAGGGCATAATAGGGCCCCTGACCTGAGTGCTGTCGATGTGATAGCACTCCAGCGCAAGGACTCACCACTTAAGGCTTAGGCAGCACGATCGTTGCTCTTGTATACTTCATTATCTGAATTCCTAGCAACTGGTGATCAACGAACATCAGACTGGCCTTGACGGAACATTAAAGATCCTTGCAACCTTTCCTTGTGAAGAGCCTGGCTAACCACAAAGTAACACATTATAAACCACGAAATTCTACCTTCGATCTGTGATGAAGTCTCAATCCTAACTCTCGCTCTCGTTCCAGGCGCACGTCCTTATCGAGCAACTTTTGTCTTTTCCAGCAGTTGCCATCCTGCGCCTCCCCGGAACTTCATCCACCGCCCGCCCTGCACGGGGGGGGGGCGCTTCCTGGAGGCTTAGCCATACCACCGCCATCCACCGCCCATGTCTCTCCACCAGCACTGCAGGGCCAGTTCTTTTGACATTTGCGGCTTTTCGCACTTAGGAAATCTCATAGGACCGAATGAGCTCCGCGATCTCATTGAGGCCTGCCCATGTCATGTCGCGCAAGGCACGCCACGCGCGCGCGCGCGCGTGCGCCCCAGAAGCGGGAAACGATTTGTCCGAAAATTGGTGAGAACGACCACATGGGGAGACGGCAAGGTGAAACTCCTACATCTCTATAATATATATTATAATATATATTATAATATATATACTGATACTGGGTGCAAGTGCAAGTGGGTTGGATGACTGCACTTTTGCTTGAAGGTGCCGTGGGTTTGGGGAGTGATCAAAGCAACGAGATGACCAACAAGGAGCAACGACTTCAAATTGAGGTGTGGATAAACGAAAAGAAACTCCTTGTAGACCTGCATGGTTGCATGTTTTGGGGGATCTTTGTGGTTTCTACGAAGGTTGTCGTGTCGTGTGCTGTTGCCTCCCTTGCTCCGAGCCGTTGTGCGTTGTGCGGGGTTGGCGGGTTAGAATCCAATTTCGGCACGCGGGAACTCCCCTTAGTATCAAATGGATGTCACAACGGTGCCAAACAGTGCTTAGACCTCATCTAACCATGTCCGGCTGCGCAGCCCAGCGCCTTGATTCTCAGCCCAGCGCGCAGCTGTCTTTCCATTCACCACAGCACCTGAGGCAGGAAATCCGTGTAGACTGTAGACTGGTCAATCCATTTGTTATTGTGCCAGGGTGATCTCTGTGCAAACACACCACATATTACACAGGAACATGCAGTGATGGAATGAAAAGCTGATCCAATTGCAATACAATCTATATCAATCTATGTTCCAAGCCTTAAAACGGGGAGCAAAACTCCTCATTTTGTCAGGCTGCAATTGACATGGTCTGTATGAGTATCATGGTCCTGGTTGGGAACCCATTGTAACAACAGTCTAAATCTCTCTAGAAAATCCTACCATGTTCCGATCATCGCTGTTGCATGTTCATCTAAGAGCACCTGAGCCATGGCCAGGCCTTTCCCAACCATCGGATCCAAGGGCCGCCACACCCGCCGTGGCCGCGGCCCATCGTCGACCCCGCCTGGGTCAGCACCCGCCTTCAGCAAGCTTTCCACGGTGGATCGATGCCCTGCGCGCGCCGCACCCATCAAGGCGGTCACACCCGCCTTGGAGGCCCTGCCACGAACAGAGCTGGGCCCAGGTTGGTCCAACAAAAAGAGGGTGGAGGTCTGTTCGGAGAGTGGAGACATATGTTTTTCTCTCTTTGTTTGTTTTGTGGAGGTTCCAAGTTCCAAGTGCAGTATTGGCAGTTTGGGTGGCATGTGGTGGGGATGCAGGAATTCTTCTATACAAAAAAAACACTGATATAAATTGATCAAGGAATTGTGGGTTATTATCATCGAATAGGGTTATCCATGGTTATCCGTTATCCCATTGAACAGGTGCCCTGCCTCACAGAGATGATCATTCCGTAAGTCTCAGGTGAAAAAGAGAAGTTCTATGAAAACGTGCTTCAACGACACCTGGAAGACTGGTTTCTAAGAATCTCTACAGAAAATAACCTCAAAACAAGGGAAAAATAAAACGTGACAGTTGAAATGGTATCTCTTAAGAAACGCAAACCAGTCTGAGTGAGTGGGTTTGGGTGGTTTCATTCGATAATCAACTCACCAAATTGGCCGCATGAGACCATATAATATGAGAATCATCGAGAAGCCCTTCCACCGTGCTGGTACCGTCACCAGGATCACCGGACCCGCCTGTTGACATCAGCGCCCTTCTGCAATAAAACCTGCAGAGTCCCGGTGAGTCTCGGATGGTCAGGCTTTCAGTGGAAGAACGCTGGACCCTCACTGAGGAGCAGTGGCAATGATTTTGAACCAAGAGAGGACCTGATGGAAACCATGAATCGACTCAAACCCCCACCAAATCCTCATGTTGTCTGACATGTTCTGTCGTGACTGACGCTGGACGACCCAATGACTTCGTTTCACCCTCACCAAACGTCGGCCTCCACGACCCCAGTATGGCCGCCCTGTGCGGCGAAGTGCAGGGGCAGCCATTCATCAGCCGCAGCAGCCTGCGAGAAAACGGGAGATACAGCCGAGAACAACATATTGAGCTGATTACTCTGTACCACTGGGTGGCTCATGTTGTTCTTGACGGGGTGGTCTTTGAATGTCTTTGACTCAGCTTTGGTGCACTATGCGGCACAACATGTACAGTAAGGCTCTTGCACATTAAAAAACAAAAAAACACTACCCAGATCTACCCAGTTAAAACGGCAGATCAGACACCCCCGCTATTCCCCGTTTACTTTCTACTACTAAAATGCACCCAATACCATTTTGGGGACGTTTTTTGATTGTACAGGTAGCCCACCCACTAGAATCACCACCAATTTTGCCGCTCACCAGTGGCACGCCGCAATTACACACGCATGTGTCCCGTTCCCGAATGGCAGTGAGACACACCGGCATGCACTTTCCACCGAGGCTTCGCCAATCCGCGTGACGCAGCAACATCACCCGTTGAACTCTTTAGCTGCTGGTCACAAGCTAAGTTCCATCAGTGATGGAACTTGTCTTGGAATTTAATAGGGGGTTTAGAATGTGTTGTTGTTCTTTTTGTTGTTCTTTTTTCAGGGAAAAACTTTGAATCCAGGAACTGTCTAAAGTCCAAACACACTGGGGCCACCTATTAAAAAAAAAACTGCCGGCTGTATTCCTTTGGTAGGTGATACCTAGTTCGGTTTCCATATCTTTTTTGAGCGATTCTGTATATTGTGTGGGGAATCAACGTCTGTTATGAGCATGTGTTTTTGGTTGAAAGACAACCAAGGGAAAGGGTCTATGTTGCGAGTGTTTTTGCATGTTTGCCACACGCTTTATAGTGGGTTTATATGCATTTGTTTCAACGGAGAGATTTGAATCCAGCAACTTGCCAAACACGCTGAGTCACTAGGGCCACCTATTAAAAACAACTGCTGGCGGGATGACTTTAGGTGGTACCTGGTTTGCTATCCATATCTTTCTTGTGTTAATTTGTGTTTATATACTGTACAATTATGTAACATCAAGGTCTGTAATAATCATCAGGTTGTTTGGAAAAAAAATTGGGAAAGGGCAATTCCTCTAATGTTGCAGGTTGTTGTCATTTTAGGCGGCACGCATTTTCACTTATGAGGGATTTACATGTTTCCAAAGTCCTTTCCTTCTGTCCCTCATGATGTTTCTTCACTATCGGTCGGTCTGTATGTGGCTTTAGGTGACATCTTCCACCTGGTTTTCGCTCCAATTCTGAGGTGCGTTTGGTTCACGTCCAGCGGGGCCTCGCCATTTTGAGGACGCGCTATTAAAGTTTAAAGCAACGACACCATATATTTTGTAAGGGGTGGGGGCGTAATAGGTGGAAGGGATGATATTCCAACATTTTATAACCGGATCATGATATAACTTATAACTGGATATAACTGGCACATGATGGTTGACCTACCGCGTGAATGGGACACTCCTTGCCGGGAAGTAGATTTGACACATTCACCTTTCGTTTGGATGCGAGTGCTCCCTCAGAAGTCTGTGTCGCAGGAAACTTATGTGACTTGGAAGTGCCTGTTTCGAACTAATTAATGTGCAGCCAGCCCGGGGCAAATATTCTTGCTTGGACTCACGAGACGACGTTTTGCAAACCATGCCAAGCTGTCATGACCATTGGTGATAGATAAACTGGCGAGCATCTGCAAGTGGAACAGGCCACCGTCGTGGGTCAAGAGACCCGATGACCACACCAACACAGAAATGATCCCTTCAAGAGACCCCAAACAGCGTGTGTGAGGTCTATAAGCAGAAAGTCTAGAGTCCTAGAGTCTAGAGATCTAGACGCATTGGGGTCCAGAGAGGTGATGGTGGTGATGAAGGTGGGGATCGTGGTGACGGTGGCGATGGTGGTGAGTGAGTGAGAGTGAGAGTGAAAGTGAGAGTGAGAGTGCGAGCGAGAGTGAGAGTGAGTGTGTGCGAGTGTGTGAGTGAGAGTGAGAGTGTGAGTGAGAGCGAGAGTGTGAGTGAGTGTGAGTGTGAGTGAGTGGGAGAGTGAGAGTGTGAGGGAGTGTGAGCGTGAGTGAGAGTGAGAGTGAGTGCGAGTGTGAGTGAGAGTGGGAGAGTAAGTGAGTGTGAGCGCGAGTGCAAGTGAGAGTGAGTGTGACTGAGAGTGAGTGTGGGTGAGAGTGAGTGTGAGTGAGAGTGAGTGTGGGTGAGAGTGAGTGTGAGTGTGAATGTGAGTGTAAGTGCAGAGTGAGTGTGAGTGCTGAGCGTGTGTGAGTGAGAGTGAGAGTGAGGAAGTGAGAGAGAGTGAACATCTGAGAGCACAAAGTGCTGTGCCTGCTACAAAATCTGCACATCGAGGTTCACAAAGTGCTGTACCTGTCGCG